GCTACTGGCGGAGGGTAAAAGACAGACACAACAGCGCTTTCTGTGAGGGATGGCACGGCAGGTGGTGTAGGCACGGCTGAAGGCACAGAGATCGTCACGAACAGGTACGGACAGCAGCTGCGTGTCGTGCACGGGTACAGCAGCTGTGCAGGCGCGGCGCGAGGAGCACAGCAGCTACTGCTGCTACTGCGGGTGGCCTGAGGTGCTACGGAAGATGCAGGCAGCAACCTGCTGCTGCTGCTGCTGGTGATCAAGGCGCGCAGAAAAACGCAGGCGGCTCTGGCTACTGCTGTTGAGTGGTCTGAGACGAAGCAGAAAACGCAGTCCTGCTGTTGGTCTGAGAAGAAGCAGAAAACGCGGGTCAACCTCGCTCCCTTGCTGCTGCTGCTGCCTTGGCGAAGTTGGGGAAACAGCAAACGAACACAGGTAGCTTTGATGTTGCTGTTGCTGCTGTTGAGAAGGCTGGTCGAAGCTCCGGCAAATGGTGGTCCGTCCTCACTTCTCCAAATAGCCGGTTCCAAGCGGGTTAACTCCAATCCACCGCCAACGGAAGGGTTTTTCTCTTCTCTCTTAAGGTCCAAATCAAAATCCCTCTCTCAGCTCACCTCCCTCACATGTACCTAGACCCAAAATCTAAAATGGGAAGAAGAAACCACCAGGGGAAGAGTGCACCATCAAGCTATCAGGGTATGGTACCAAGGATGTAGGTAGACCCCCCCCCCCACTCTGCAGAAATCAAAAGGAGATCTCCCCAACAAATAAACAATAATAAAATTTATAAAAGACATATCCTTATCAAAGGAAGGCCTAATAGACCTACAAGATGAGGTAGGCTAAAAGAAGAAAAGAAAATAAATAAATAAATAAGTAAATAAATAAATAAGTAAATAAATAAATAAAAACTTAACATGGAATAGGGGAAGAATTTCGGGTGTTACACATATTCATTTAACATTCGGATCCCTTAGTACAAGAATCTATCATGACCAAATACAAGGTCCAAAAATTTGAAATACATAACTTGTACTAATCAACAAAACTACTCATTAAAAGCAACTCCTCATCCAAAATGCATATAAGAAAAACATTAAATCTTTTCTTTTCCCTTACCTTCTGTACCTCCTGCAATACACATTTTAAAATCACAAAACGAGGGTTAGACTGAAGAGTCTAGTGAGTTACCCTAATCATGTAATTGCAGGGTGAAGGATCACCAAAACCTTTATAAAACAGCTATTCACATATATAACAAATATATGAATACGCAAGAAGGTAATAACAATTCATTTTCCATATTCAAACTAACCTCGTAGCTATACAAAATTCCATACCTTTGAACCAATCAGGTTCCATTTAATACAATTTTAAACCTTTTCTTTATTAATTAAGGTTTAAACAAAAATTCAGGTCAAACCTGATGTTTCCTTCTCAATAACATCCAGACTATGATTTCCAATAAGAACCTTGATCCTAAATCCTTAAATCACAAAGAAATAAAGATTTCAGACCACGGTAATCTTAAAGGATATAATAGAAAATGTTATATAATACCACACACAGACAATGCCACCCTTATAACCAATGGACACCTCTCCTTGATATGCCACCCTTATATCAAATGRACACCTCTCCTTGATATGCCACCCTTATCACTTCATCAAAACATTTGTAAAATAATTCCGAATAGACCGCAGTCATTGGAATTGTTATCAGTCTGAAAACATTTAATAAAATAATAATAATTTCTTTCAAAAACACAAGACATCATCACAAATCCGGTCAACAATCATCCGGTTTAACACTTGGACCAAAGTCCACTTTGTCCGGATATCAAATCCGGTCAACACCACACGTGCTTTGGACGGTTTAACACATAAAGACAAAATTCATCTTTCTATCCGGATAACAAGTCCGGACAACATACCACCCCTTCTTTGAACGATTTATACTTAGAATAAATTCATATTTGAACGGATATCAAATCCGGACAACAGTCCGTTCAAGACTCATCCGGTTTAAGACTAAACCGCTCAACACTCAGCCGGTTTACCAACTCCGGACAACAAACCGCTCATGGCTTGTCCGGTTTAAACTAGTCCGGTCACTAAACCGTTTAAAGCTTGTCCGGTTTAAAACAATCCGGACAATAAACCGTCTAAGGTTTGTCCGGTTTAAATGCTTATCCGGTCACTCTTTGTTCGGATAAACACTTAGACAATAAAAATCATGGTTTCTTTCCAAATAAGAACAATACGAAACATGCAATTGAAACCAATAGAATCTTTATACAAAAAGGTTTAGAAACCACTCACCTTATAAAGCTTTTGAATCCAAAATGCTAGAAATCAACCCTTTTGAAACTTGACACTTGCAAATCAGCTTGAAATCACTCCCTTTAGCAAACCGGACAACACTTCTGAAAATCTCTCTCAATTCCTCTCAAAATAACAGGGATAACAAATGAAGAGGCTATGCCTTTTTTATACCTCCCAAATAGGGTAAGGCGGCGTAAACTGCCTTCCCTTTTTCCCACCTCATGCTTAACCCAATATGCACACTCACACATACATACATAGCACATGCATGCATCATATGAATATATATATATATATATATATACCATGTATTTCTAAATACATATATATATATATATATATATATAAATATATATTCAATTAATACCTAACTTCACATACTGGCATGTATCGACTTATCATGCAATCACGTAATCATTTAAATCAAATAATCACGTATCATTTACCTTGGGTAATAACCAGGATCTGGTTATCACATTAAGGTAGTGCTGGAACATGAAATTGATGGCAACTGAATTGGAGAGATGCAAATAATGTATTCAGAGATGCTGAACAGGTTAAGGAGGAAGAGGACATAGATGAATCTAGACAGTCTAATAATCAAAGTACAAGAATTCCAAAGTAATCCTTTGCTGATGTGAATTATCTAGACCTGCAAGTGATAAGGATTGACAACTGTGTATGTCAGATCTCCATTGCAGACTTTTCAAGGCTAAAGCTACAAGATCAGATGTTCTTACTTAATTTTTTACAAAAAGCAGACATCTCATAGGCTAAGCTGGAGAGTGAGGAGAACTATGAGAGTCTACATCATAAATCTAGGGTTATACGATCTATAAGTTGCTTTGGATCTAAAATTGCCAAGGATCAATGCTGAAAATCCTTTGAATGAAACCTTTGAGAACAACCTTCTTCTGGGTAAATTTGTATACCTGCAGCAGTGCCAATACTACTTCAAGACTTCTATAGAGAAGTATGTACTCAAGATTACAAGGCTTCCTCTATTTACATATGAAGTGCTCACTCAATTTCTTGAAGAAATGAAGAAAGCTACTTCTATACAAGAGGATGTGAAAGAGAAATTTGTTGAAGAGATAAAGGAAAGATTAAATCTCAGACAGTTAGTTAGAGATTGTATAAATCTGGTGATAAAGGAGGAGAATCCCAAGAAAGCTCTGGAAAATGATGTCCTCTTGCCTTCTAAATATTACATATCTCCAACTCTGAAGAAGCATGTTCCACAACCAAAGCAAAAAGAAAAAGAGGTGATGAAAGTGGATCTGAATGAATGGTTAACTGAATTCACATTCTTGAACCTATTCATGTTAGAAAGGGAATTCAACATTAAAACCTTTGTGGATTCCTTCACAAGGAAGTTTGCAGGTTTCAACCACCCAAAAAAAGATCTCAAGTGATTAAGCGAGGACAGGTCTCATGGTCAATCCCTCCCCTACGACACAAAAACAAGCGAGTAGAACTTATAACAGCCCACCCGTTTCAAAAGATAGTACCAATCATTCATAGACATAATAGGCAAGTTGAAAAGAGATGTCTATTCAGAATTAGCCATTACAAAGCTAGTGGATATCAAACAGATAACTTGGAGGAGCATAGTGTACCAAGTCTTTGCTGTTGAGAGGGAAGACAAAAGAATTTATGAGTTCTCTGAAGCTGACTTTCAAAACATCCATCTTGCCAACCTCCTTCAACTTTACTACAAGTTAGCTCCATTTGAGGAAAAGGTTGCAAAATTCAGATATGGACTGGCAACTATCATCCATGGTATTCTCATAGCTACACTATGGGGTGGTATGGTAGATTTTCAAATAGCTTTGACTCTAAAGAGGAACAAAGTACATTTGTTGCATCCAGACACAAGTCTTAGAGAATTGGCAAGCTATCATATAGGAACAGTTGTATTTGATCCCCCTGGCTACATATGCAAGAATCTACAAGAGAAGTTCTTATTCAGAGTGTATGATATACACAAGTACACGTCAGGTACTTTAATTCAGATTCACAAGTCCCTAAAGAAAAAACTTTGTAACATATCATTTCAAAAGAAGAATGGCCAAAGCTAAAAGAGCTAATCAAGTGGATGAGAATGGAGATAGATTCTCAACTCACTTATAGAAGAATTATCGTTGAGAATTTCATTTCCATTCTTAAAGATAGAAGTATTGAGATTTGAAGCAAAAGGGGAGATTGAAAGTATAGAAGATTGCTTGCTAAGTATAGAAGTCTACAAAGTTGATTTCCAGATATCTGAACTGAAGGAAGTGCTAAATCGACTAAGTCTAAGTCTCAAAGACTTACCTTCAGATCTCTGAACTTGAAGACTTCAGAGTTCGGGTTAAAGCTTCTCAAGGCATACAAGTGCAAGTCTGAAAAGATATTCTTCAGAGTTATTTCAAGAGAAGACCCAAAGAGCGCACAAATGTCAAAACAGAAGACGAAGTCTGAAGACCTTGAATTCAGAGTTATTCTAACTCTGAACGAGAGGTTGATGCTGATCCCATATCTTGTTATTAGTGATAGATATTATCTTTCCTAGTTTATGGGATTTGGTTTCATTATGTAGTTTATCTTATTCTTTATATAGATAGGTTTACTATTATTTCAATAATGTTGTTAATGATTGATTCATTATCCATTCCAGTATTGTAAGCACATTGCTCTGCATTCTTCATATTCAATGACAGATCAAAACCTTTGACTGCTAAAACTCTTTGTTCTTACTTTTTTTTCTTAATATTCTTGATATACGGACACTTTCAAAGATGACTCTTTCCAATTTCTCGATACTTGAATCCGACGTCTAATGACAAATGTCATGCACACTGATTAGTTTCTCGATTACATAGAATATTTGTTGCAATATTTGTGCTAGAATGAAAAGAAAAACAAAATAAAATCAAGATCCACCCGTCACACACAATAATAATGTGTATAAATATATCATATGTTATTCTTGAGAACTTAATACAAATTTAAAGGTCTCATTTGATTTGTAAGATTCCTATGGAATATGAAAATTTTGGAAAGACCAATTATATTGACCAAATTTAATTCAACTGTTTGGTTTGTACTTTGAATGAAATTGAATTTTATAGATTCCATTGTTCATAGGTTTAATCATTCCATTGCATATGTGATGACATTAAAATTAATTCCTACCTATTTTTCAAAAAGCCTAGCCTACCATATATGCTTGCTCATTGCCACATCGTGATCACCATCAATTAATATTATCA